CACTGTCAACAGACATCAGCTGCCTAGAAGCCCAGCCGCCTGCCCAGGGAGAGAAACCGGAAGGACCTGTCCGACTTGTGGCCCCATGGGGAAAATGGCAATGTATTAGGGTTCTCCAGAGAAACAGAATCAGTAGGATGTATACAGATACAGATGAGGTGATTCATTAGAGGCATTGGCTCCCATGTTATGGAGGCCAAGAAGTCCCACCATTAGCTGTCTGCAAGCCAGAGAACCAGGAAAGTCGGCATTGTGTTTCAGGCTGAGTCTGAAGGCCTGAGAATCAGGAGGGACCAGTGTTGTAAGTTCCAGTCTGACTCCAAAAGGAACCAGGAGCACCAATGTCCAAGGAGAGGAGACGATAGATGTGTACACTCAAGCAGAACCAGGAACTCACCCTTCCTCTGCCTTTTTGTTCTCAATGGATTGAATAACCACCCATACTGATGAGGGCAATCTTCTTAGTCTAGAAACTCAAACATTAATCTCTTCCAGAGACACCCTCACACACACCCCAAAAATAATATTTTACCCACTGGTATCCCTAATCCCAGTCAGGCTGAAACATAAAATCAACCATCACAGGCAGTATCTGGTTTTCCACACCCAGCACTTCAGTCACAACTGGTGGTGGAGGGCAGTAGACCCCAACTCTGCCTTGCTAGAATCACCTGGGGGGGCTTTAACAAGTCCCTATATCTAGATCAGTTAAGTTGGGGTTTCTGAGGTTGGGGCAGGTACCAGTGTTTGTGAAAGATCCCTGGGTAATTCCATTGTGCAGCCAGGATGGAGAACCACAGCCTCCCTCAGCAGGAGGTGCACACCTCACTCACCTTTGTACATTGTCTTGGGACTAACTTACCATCACGCATGATTCCTCAGTTAACTTCGCACAGCAGCTACAATGTACAGCTACAATGAGCTTTTAAGAATATAAATGATATTGTTTTGGACAGTTTGCTCAGTAGTTAGAGCGTCGACCTGCGAACCAAAGGGTTTCGGGTTCGATTCCCAGCTTCTGTGGGAGGCAACCAACCAACTCTTTCCTACCCCCCATCTTTTCCTTCCACTCTCTAAATCAATGGAAAAAAATATCCTTGGATGAGGAATGACAAACAAACAAAGAATAAAGAATATACATCACATCATGTCACTTGCCTGAATAAAACCCTCCAATGGCTTTGCACTGAATCTAGAGTAAATTCAAGCCCCTCATCTTGGTTTGTGAGACACTCAACAGTCTGACCCTGCACACCTCAGGCAGGAGAGCCAAGAGTGAGGACAGGAGCTCTGCAATGGACACCCCAGAGCCAAGTGCTTGCTCTGCCTTTATGGGCTGGGTGACTTCCGAGAAGTTACTGGACCTCTCCCTGCCTCCACTGCCTCATCTATAAGGCAGATTTGTTGCTAGGATTAAATTAGTCAACACACGTAAAGCTCTACATAGCACTTAGATCCTCCCCGTCCCCCTGTCCAAGTCTCAGTTCCAGAACAGCCACTCTGGCTCTTGCCTGTGGACCCCCCTGCAAGAAGAGTGACACCTGGCATGACTGGCTCCTTTTCATCACTCAGGAGACAATGTCGTGACCACAGAGACTCCTTCACCCCTTCATCACCCTGTTTGATTTCCTTTGTAGCCTGTATTCATTTGCTAAGGCCGCTGTAAAAAAGTACGACAAGCTTGAACAACAGAATTTGTTGTCTCACATTCTGGAGGCTGGAAGTCTGAGATCCAGGTGTCGGCAGGGTTGGTTTCTTCCCCGGGCTGTGAGGAAGGATCTGTTCCATGGCTCTCTCCTAACTTGTGGTGGTTTCCCAGAAATCCTTGGTGTTCCTTGGCTTATAGATGTGTCACCCTGACCTTTGCTTTCATCTTCACATCTTGTTCTCTCTGTGTGTGTGTGGCTTTATGTCCAAATCTCTTTTTATAAGGACACCAGTCAAATTGGATTAGGTGCCCATCTTATTCCAGTATGACCTCATCTTAACTAATTACATCCGCAATGACTCTATTTCCAAGTAAGGTCACATTCTGCGGTCCTGGGGATTAGAGTCTCAACATATTCATTTGAGGGTATCACAATTCAACCCATACTCTTCTCTTGAACCATCTGGTTCTATTTGTCTACCTGAGTATTGTATTGCCTTGTCTCTCCTCACTCAATGTCATTGTTTATACTGTGTGATTTTTCTGCAGAAAAAAAAAGAAGTCATGCTATGCTTTGTAATGGGGGGGAAAAAAAGACTTTCCAGAAAAATAAACAAACAAATGACCGCCTTTGCATTGTGATTTGGCTCTCCATCACCTCCCATTCTAGATGGGAAGCTCCATGACAACCGGTACCACATCTTCACACACCTAAACCTAACACAATGCCTGACACATAATAGATGTTCAATATATGCTGGCTGAGTTGAAATTAGAACAGATAATACTGAATTTCCCCACAAGAGTGCAAGCAAAGCAGTTGTTCTTGCAGCTTCCCTGGTATACATGTGACACATTTTCTCACAAATCTAGAAATGTGAAAAAAAATAAATAAAAGAATACTGACACTCTAGGGCCTAGAGTCTAGGCTTTTAAATGACTCTGGCATATAAAGTGGCACTATCAAACTGTATTGACACCTAAGGTACTGTTAAGAGTTAAAACACAACAAACCTAAAGAACAAAATAAACTGATGAACAAAATAGATCCGGAGACATAGAAACATGGAACAATCTAATGAATCCCAGAGGGAAGGTGGGGGTGAGGGGGGTGTGGGGAGTGGGGGGAGAGATTAACCAAAGAACTTATATGCAATAAGCATAACTAATGGACAACAAACCTAAAGAACAAAATAAACTGATGAACAAAATAGATCCGGAGACATAGAAACATGGAACAATCTAATGAATCCCAGAGGGAAGGTGGGAGTGAGGGGGGTGTGGGGAGTGGGGGGAGAGATTAACCAAAGAACTTATATGCATATATGCATAACCCATGGACACAGACAATAGTGTGGTGAAGGCCAAGGGTGGGCTAGAAGAGGTCAATGGGGGTGGGGGAGTGGGAAGGGGGGCATCTTTAATACTTTCAACAATAAAGATACATTTTTTAAAATTTAATTAAAACACATCATGGAGCAATACTGTCAAGTCTAGGAGAAAATTTAACCAGTGGGGTAATCACCCAACTCCTAATTAGGTGCTGTTTGCGGAGGCTTTAGAGACAAACAAGGGTTACATTAAGTACTAAGTAGTATTCATTAATATTAGTATATCACATGGGCTGGTACTTATAAATGTAAATGTCCTAGGCCTATCAGCACAATAAAATATCCAGCTATACTTTAAATTTTTCTTTATAGGATTTTTTACCACTTCTGGCTTCCAAAGAAAATAGCTTCATATAATCTTTGCATTTTCTAACTTGACAACACTTTTGAAATCATATAATACAATAGTTGTTAATTCTATCAGACCCAATACCTCTCTTTTGTGATAAGTATTTGGCCACACCCCTCTTTAACATCCTGAAGCAAAATTCATGGATAAACTGCCTGTATATAACATATTTCACTATGTAAACACTCAAGCATGTCCAAATGAGGTTGTCAGATGCATGCACTACATGAAGAAATACTACACATGGGCCAGTTCCAAATGGCAGGCTATTCCACATGTGCGGTGGGAGAGGCAGTACCATGGTAACATTGCCAGGGGCACTGGTGTTCTGAAATGGTGAAGAACTCTTAAGTTCCAAACTAAAGAAATTACGATCTTCCTTCAATTTATCCTATAGTTGCCTTCCTGAAAAGTTCAATGAACTTGTATATTAAAACTGACCTTCCCCCAAAATCCCATGTGTTCATATGTAAAACAAAGTTAGGTTTTAGATTCAGATCATCATAACCAGAATTTTCACCTATTCCCACACATTCAGCATCTCTGGGGCCCATCATCAAATTCCAGGACCACTCCCCCATCCTCAATCTGTGAGAGCAAAACAATGTTCAAAATATTTTTCACTTGGTCAAGTGAAAACCTGGATTATACTGTTCATTCGTAATAGTGGAACTGTTGGTTACTTTAATTCATATATTGTATGAATAAGGATGGATAAATTAGAACTATGCTCATCATTCATTATGTTAAAAAATTAGAATAATTGTGAAATGTTTTACTAACCTTTATTTTTCTTTGTTTGTATTTTCCTGGTTAGACTAATATGTGCTCATTAAGAAATATATTTGGGTGTATGCAACACAAGAAACATTTTTTATTTCATTTGAGAGCAAGGTTCCAAAACAATCCCACGGAATGGCGCTGGCCCTCTTGAGAGTCAGAGGTCTAATTTTACATCCTTATGTGAAAAATGAGGATATTGTGTCCCCCAAAGGATATGCCCCAGAATCACAGACCAACTCTTGGCCAAGCCAGGTAAAAAATACTTAAAGTTTGAACAGAGGAGCACATTTCATGTGCCAGGCATTGTCTTAAGCATGTTTCAGACACACCTCAACTTAATCTTCACATAAACACTAGGCAGACTTTATTATCCTCCTTGTACAGTTGAAACCCAAGTACAGAAAAGTGAAGCAACTTACATAAGGCCCCAGAGGAGTAAGTGACAGTGCCCTGACTCAAACCACGATCTTCCAAACAACTGTGCAACACAGTGCAAACTACAGACTGTCGTTCAGGACTGGAGGGGATACAAGTGGGGAATGAAGCCTTCCTACATATGAGTACACAGGATAGGCCAGCTCTCACAGCATAGTACATGGACCTCCAACCATCCCTCCAAGCCATGGTTTGTTTCCCATTGAGTCTCATCTTCTCTTTTTTTGTGTTCTTTCTGCAGACATTCATGCCCAGGAAAAGGCTGCTTTGGGTCCCTCTGGACCTTTCCTAAAAAGAAGATCCCTGTGCACTAAATGAGTTCCAGAAGCAGCCACTGAGGCTTCCATAGCCCTCTTCCATCAGTTGACTTTCACCAGAACCCCTACTACTCAGGATGAGTGGCTTCCTCGCCTCCCTGGACCCCCGGCGGGTACAGTGGGGGGCTTCCTGGTATGCCATGCACTCCAGGATCCTGCGCACCAAACCGGTGGAGTCCATGCTGGAGGGAACAGGGGGCACCACAGCACATGGTACCAAGCTAGCCCAGGTGCTCACCACCGTGGACCTCATCTCACTTGGCGTTGGCAGTTGCGTGGGCACAGGGATGTACGTGGTTTCTGGCCTGGTGGCCAAGGAGATGGCAGGACCTGGTGTCATTGTGTCCTTCATCATTGCAGCTGTTGCATCCATATTATCAGGTAAGGGTCTTCGTGCAGCAGAAGGCCTGTGGAAAGCATGCTTGCAGACCTATTACTGTTCATCCCACAGTTCTAGAGTATTTAGTGGTGAGATGTAGGAAGTGACAGAGAAGTGGTCTTCATGCTTCCTTTGTGCCTGGACTGCCAGGAGTTCAGGGATAAGTTTTGATTCAAATGTAATAACTACCTTTTCCACTGCTTTTTGATACAAATAATTATTCTGGTGCCAAACCATCTTTCAACTTCTTATTCCCTGCCATGTCCATTGGAAGAGATGTTGGTCCTTTTATAGGGAAGGGAGTGAATACAGCTAGGATATCATTATAAATAAAGGATAGGAAGAGTAGCAAAATAAGTCAGTAAATATGATATGATTAGGATTTGATGAACCTCAAACTGGTACTATGACTCCCAAGCAGGAGAAAACCAGGCTAGAAATACAAAGCCATTGTGAGACTCACAAAGTACATCTTCCACCACAGACTGATATTCTACAGAGTTGCTTTTCTACAAAGTAGCTTTTCTAGAGCTTTTCTCTCTCCTGGAGAAAGGATCATAAAACTCATTATTTGTTGGGTTTGAATCATAAAACTCATTATTTGTTGGGTTTTTTAAATGAGATACCAGGCTTAGGATTTATCATCTGTGAAATGGTTTTTCTATTTCCTTTCCCTCCTCTTCTTTTGAGTTGTGATCCACACAGTACCTTCCCAGAATGCCAGAGACAGGTCAATGGACAACTTGAACGAGAAGGAAAAGGAAAGCATTCTGCTTCTTGATAGTTACAATGCAAAAGCATGAGGTAGATCATGTGGTTCAATCCACGAAGGGGTGAATGTCATGTTCTTTTCAAATGTGTCATGAGGAGTAGGAATGCTAACTTATATTGGGAGGTCTGTGAGCTAATACATGCCATCACAAGTTATGCATTAATTTTTCATATCCCGACTACATGGTCTTCATCCACTTGGAATGCACAGACTAGAAACATGCAACCAGAAAGTTCACTGGTTTGCCGAAACCGGTTTGGCTCAGTGGATAGAGCGTCGGCCTGCGGACTGAAAGGTCCCAGGTTCGATTCCGGTCAAGGGCATGTACCTGGGTTGCGGGCACATCCCCAGTGGGAGATGTGCAGGAGGCAGCTGATCGATGTTTCTCTCTCATCGATGTTTCTAACTCTCTATCTCTCTCCCTTCCTCTCTGTAAAAAATCAATAAAATTAAAAAAAAAGAAAGTTCACTAGTTTATATTTGACACCTTTTTTATTTGATGAGGGAAATATTTCCAGACTGATTTCATCTGTCTCCTGTCATGGCTTACTTCCCTGTTGGTTTTATCACTATCTCCTTTTCTAAAGTCATCCTCTAATGTGTATGAATATCCCAATAATTGAGGTTCTTACAGAACAAAGGATTTTTCCTTATAGATGAAAATAAATTATTCACCTAGATAAATTTCATGAATATTTGAAATTCTGTTAACCTGATTGCAATCATTTTCAAACTTATTTGGCAAAAAAAAAAATTATTTGGGAGACAGTGCCAGATTTTTACCATTAATTTATAGATTTAAAAGTGTTAGCATATAGAGCAGACTAGCAATGGTAGGAATAAAGGCAGACATATAACCAGAGGGCCCTACAGAGACTATAGGGCAGACAGCTAAGAGTCCTTCCCAGTTAATGCAGGCTGCACATTCTCCTCTAGATTCATCCTGTTATGGCCCACGCCCCCAAATCATGATGGTTCTCATGAATGAATCACCCACATCTTTTCATTCATGATGCTACATTACATTTAGAAGCCAAACAGGCCCAGTCCCATACTGGGAGCCTACCCCCGTCACAGTGCTCATGGGTGCTATATAACCTAGACATTTCTACTGCTCAGGTGGACCTAAGATTGGACCAGTCACGTTGTACTGTAGTCTGTGCCAAGAGCCCTGATTGTGCACACTTCTTCCAACTTTGCACTCAGTGAGGTCATGTGGTTAATTTGATCCTCACCTCCACTGGTGCCACATCAGCCACTACCCTTGTGGATACACTCTGGTATTGTCATCACCTAGAATAGTTTTGCCTCAAGAACCTTAAACTAAAACCCCTGTCTCTGACTGTAGCTCATTCCCTTATTGCACTTGCTCCTAAATCTTATCAAGAATTCCCCCAAACCCTTTGACTCCTTCCCATTATCAACCTCTGAAAGACCCAGTAAAATGTAACTGAGGATCTCTGCCTTCCCAAGTCTGCACCCGGGTGAACAAGAGTTCTTGGGAAAGGTTACTCAACCCCACAGAGGAGCACGCCACAAAGTTAAGGTCTCCATCCGCCTTCTGCTGAGCCCATGAGTTCTTACACTTGTCCTTTATCAAATCTTCTCATTGATTTTTCTGCACTTTCACTGCTCAGTTCATATCTCTTCCCTTAGAGCAGACAAACCTTAATACCTCGAATATATCTGCAATGAGCTCCTTAAATATTCTACCACCAAATAAGTCCCTAGCAATCACCCACACTTGCCACTTTTCCTCCAGTTTCAGAGGGTAAAATGTCCTCACTTTCAGGACAACTCAATTCTTTGAGCCCTTAACCCCATCCTTTTCTGTTCTTAATAATCCCCTTCTCTAATTGTGTCCTCAACATCTCCTTGTCAACAGGTTCCTAATCAAGTCTCTCTCATCCTAAAATATAATTCTTTCTAGGCTCACATTCTCCTCTAGCAACTTCCAATGTTTCTCCTTCCCTTCCCATTCAAACTCCTTATTGATCTTAACTCCTCTGATTCATCCCTCAACCCACTGCTCTCTGGCATCTGCCCTCACCATCTAATGAAATTAACCTTACTGAGGTCACCAATGGCATCCCCTTTGCCAAGTCTTATAGATATTTTTCAGCACTTATCTTATTGGAACTCCCTGCCATATTTGACAAAATCATGCCATCTATCTTAAGATATTTTACATTCTCTTGACTTTGTGTGAGAATATAAAGTTCTTATACTTTATATTCTTATAAAGTCTTCATGACTTCCCTTTCTCTACTTGCTCCTTAAATGTTGGTGTTTCCCACTCTACACTCTCTGCAAGGTGATTATGTCCTCTCTCATGGTTTCAGTATTTCCATGCTTTTATCCATTCGTATCTCAATCATATACATATCTTCCAAGCTTCAAACTCTACCAAACATTTCTATCTGGATGTTCCAGACATACCTCAATTCAACATGTTCCAAACATATCCTCTTCCTCCAAACCAGATTCATTTGCTCTCTCTCTCTCTCTCTCTCTCTCTCTGCTTCTCATTCCAGACAAAAACCTTGGTACAACCTTTTCTGCCTCAGCCCTTTGCATTCAATTACAAGTCCCACCACTTTTGCCTACTACATAGTTCTTAAACCAATCCTCCATCTCTATTTTCTCTGCCCCTGCTCTGAAGTCTCTATTAATCAGAACTCTTTTCATTTAAAGACACAGTAGCCAAACACAACCAATCAGAAATGTATTGGCTCAATGGCTGGATCTAGGGCTTCATCTTTATAAATCACAACCTGAACGAAAAGGCATCCTCACCCAGTGTTCACATATAAAATATCAGTGAAAGATTCTAATTGGCTTTTCTTAGGTCATGTGTTCACCTTTATATTGCTAGGATAGGATAAACAGAGCTAACACCTTTGCTGATAGATGCAATGCCAAAATGGGGAAAATCAATCACCAAGATTTGTGGTCATAAATTTGAAAGTGAGTTAGTCTCTACTGTCTGCACTTATCTCCAGGATAAATAGCTGCTTGGTTACAAGAGTGGATGGAGTAAATGGAAAGTTGGAATTAACTAGGTTTAACTTTTTCCAGGCAGAGAGAAAAAAAGCAATGAGGTTAGGAGTGCTTTCTAAGGCTGGAACTAGTGCAGGACCACACAATATAGGTTGGAAATGAGAACATGAGGGTAGTGGTGATTCATAAGAAGTGTTAAGATCACTGGAGATTGGTGCTCTCAATGAGTTCAGAAAATCATTGAAATAAAAATATTGAGAAAGTGTGCTAGAGGATAGAAATGAACTTGAAGAGTGGGATGTTTGAAATTAAGATGTCATAAGTGGTACAGTAATCACTAATGTTAATTTGAGACTAGAACCTGGCTCAGCCACAGATGACCTGTGAAAACTTGAGCAAGTTTCATAACTTCTCTGAGCCTGTTCTCTACTTTGAAAATGGTCATAATAATACTTAACTTCACAGAGTTGTGAAGACTAAATGAGATACATGTACAGTGCCAGGTCAATGCCTGACAGGTAGCACCAAATAAATGGTCATTACTATTTTGTGCCAAACCCTGTATTAGGAGCTTGCCATATATTATCACATTGAAAACTCATAATATCTCTTCAAGGTATGTTTTATCATCTCCAGCTTTACATGTGAAGAAATTGAAATTTAAATAATAGAATCTTAATTCAAATTTGTTGTGCAAATAGTGTCTTTCAACCATGACTATGAATTTAAATCATTTAATAATTTTTTTTCTGAAACATGGACTAGAGAAGGGGGTGGTCAGCTTTATTTCCAGTTCTTTTTTCATATCATTAAAATTAAAACTCGAGCAGAATACAGATCTAATTGACTCCTAAGTTCATGCACTTTCTATAATAACTCTTCAAGCTCATATCTAAAATGTTTTTGGTAGAGATTAAATGAACAGTATGCGTACACAGCATTGGTCCCCATCCCAGTGCACAATACCACTAATTTTTATCATCTACTCATAAGAAACAGTTGGCAAAAATATAATAAGATTGAGTTCAATAAAGATGTTTTGGGTACCATCATATACCAGTCCTGGAGCACTACCATAAATTAATAAGAAATTGTGTCTACCCTAGAGGACCCATAGCTTATTGATGGAATGAACACCAAACCTGACAAGTAACCATGGCATAATGGTACTAATAATAGTAATAGTAGTAGCAATAACTACCATTTGTTGAGCACTTACTGTGTACCAAA